GCTTCCATCTATTTATTGAGTTGTTTGGTGCTGCCATGTATGTCAATCTCTGGTTGTTGTCTGTTCTTGTTGGTTCTCAGTCCAAAGAACTCCCTTTAGGTTGTTTTAAAGTATTGGGTTGGCTTTGGCAAAATCTCTTAGCTTCTGCTTATATGGGAATTCTTTTATTATACCATTGTTTTGATTGACAGCTTTACTGGGTAGACGATTCTTGGTTGGCAGTTTTGGTTTTTTTTTTCCTTTCAGGGTTTTATATATGTGTCTCCTTTGCCTTCCTGTTTGCATGGTTTCTTCTGAGAGACCAGAGTTTAACCGGATTTGTTTTCCTTTGTAAGTAACACTTCTCTCTTCCCTAGCTGCTTCCAGGATTTTCTCCTTGTCTTTGATTTTGGAGAGCTTGATTATGATTTGTCTTGGTGGTTTTCTTTTGGGGCCTATCCTTCCTGGGGTTCGTTGAGCTTCTTGAATGCTCATCTTTTTGTTTTTCAGGATGTTAAGAAAAATTTCTTCCAGCAACTTTTCAACTATCTCCTCAGTGAACTTGTGTGACTCTTCCTGTTCCAGAATTCCAATAATTCTTAAGTTATTCCTTTTCATGTTGTCCAACATGAATCTTAGACTTTCTTCAGAATTTTTTATCTTTTTTTTTCTGCTTACTTTTCTGTCTTTACAGTACTGAGATATTTTTCTACCAGCTCACTGGTTCTGGCTTCAATCTCTTCAATTCTATTTCTTTGCCTTTTCAATATATTGTCCATTTCTGATATTTTATTATTAATCATTTAGACCACTTTTGGCAGGTTTTGAATGGTTTATATTGTTGTATCTACCTTATTTCATTGTTCCTGCAGCACTTTCTTGGCTTCTTCCTTATTTTTCTCAAACCCTCTGTAAAGCATTTGGATGCACTCCAATATTATTCTCCTGATTTTTTTCTCTGGCAGTTCCAAAGACTGCCCTCCTTCCAGTGGGAAATCTAGCTCTACATCCAGATCATTTGTGTCGGTTACACTATCTTTTTTCTGGACATATGCCAAAATTGGCATTTTTTTAAATTCCCTTGGGCCTCTTCAATAATGAAGCTTTCAATTATTAAATAAATATATGTTGATGTATTATTGAGCTTTCTGATTGCCTTCAGGTAGATGTGATCAGGAGATGGGCTTCCCTTTTGATTTTTCTTATTACTCAACTCAGGGTAATTATAGCTATGTTGGCTGTCTATCTGGTATATTGCAGTTGGTATTGGCTCTTGCCTGTATGGTTGGATGTTACAGGATGTGATTGTATCTTGGCTTTATGACCACAATTTCAGTCTCTTCTTGGGTAATATAGAGAAACACCCCCTGAGTGTAAAATTGGAACCCCAAAACAAAATATCAACAGGAAAACAAACAAACAAACAGATTTGGTAGTAAGTCTATAATCACATAAAATTAATGAAGGAAGGATAAAAAGGGGGAAAAATCTGTAGCAAAATATTAGTATGACTTTAATGTCCCTTTCTTGGCCAGCTCAGGTTTTTCTGGGACCTAATCCATTAGTTGTTTAATAGTATGTTGTTTTATTTCCACATTTTTCTTAAATTCTGTTTTCTTGTGCTATTGATTTTGAGTTTCATTCCATTTTATTCTGAGAAAATATTTTTTATGATTTTAATTTTTAAAACTTTGAAACTTTTTTTTTTGACCTAACGTATAGTTTATCCTAAGGAGCTCTGGTAGCGTAGTGGTTACGAATCGGGCTGCGAACCTGAAGGTCAGCAGTTCGAAATACCAGCAGCTCCGCGGGAGAAAGATGAGGCTTTCTACTCCTGTAAAGATTTACACCCTCGGAAACCTTGTACAGGGTCACTATGGGTCGGAACCGACTTGATGGCACTTAACAACAACAACAATAGTTTATCCTGAAGTGTAATCCATATGCACTGTAGAAAATATGTATTTTGTTGCTGGTGGTGGAGAAAGGTAGATTTTAAGTTACATTTTTGTTCAGAATTCTAAAGTAATATCTAGAGGTATTTGTAACAGATTGAACAGGGAGTGAAGTATATATTAAATGACAATAGGGATCCTTCAGGAGACCATAGAGTACCGGAGATGAGTAGTGGCATTCTAGTTGGATTCCAACAGCAGTAGACTTTGAGATTTGGTTCTCAAAGGAAAAAAATTTTTAAGCCATGGCACAGCGTATTGAAGAGACTCAGAGGTAAGTAAGAACATATGAGGTATTGGAAAGAGGACTAGATAAGTAGTCAAAATGTTTAAGTTCTGGTTTCAGCTCTTAGGAGAGCTCACTGTGTGAGTTGGGACAAATCCTTCCCTTTTTTAGGCCTCATTTGCCACTCTATAAAATGAGGGAAATGCTTAAAAAGTTGCTAAGATACCCTTTAGTTCTTATTTTCTAAAAGTATTTAATATGTGGTAATTTAGAAGGACATCAGGGAACTGACATTTGACTATGTGAAACTATATGTGAGTGAATGAGGTGATACAGACTGAAAAGATAATAAGCTGGGGTGGTAAGTTTGACACATTAAGGGACATCATCCAGGGTTTTGTCTTGTTCCTAAAGATTCATAGGTAGGAAAACATAAATGGAAATGGAGAGTAGAGATACAGCATGATAGTGGAACACACATAGACCTTAGAACCAGGGAGACTTGGATTCAAATTCTGGTTCTGCCACTTGCTTAGCTACCTTTTATAAGACATGTTACTTCTCTGAGTCTCTGTTTCCTCATCTTAAGATGGAGATAATAATTTCTAATTCATATAGTTGCAATGATGCTTCAGAGAGATGATATAATTTTGAACCTGAAACACCAGGGGGATGATAGTACCAACATTGTAGATACAATAGAAGAAAAAAAGCACTCAAGATTTTCAGTTAAAACATGAGAGATGAAGTTTCACTGACAAAAATGGTTGATGTTGGACAAGTTAAGTTATTTAACTATTCTTGTCCTTAGTTTTCTTCATCTGAAACAGAGGACTTTAAAATCCTGTTTCAGAGAAAGATTATGGAGACTGAAGGAGATAACATGTATAAATTTCCTGATACAGAGTCTGACATGGAATGCATACTCAGTAAAAATTATTATTCTTTCCTCCTCCTTCTTCATACATCAGATTTCTAATTTACAAAATGGAGATGAAGATTTTTAGGAATATCCTTAAGTTGTTATTTTGTTCACACGAGATAATGAAACTGAATAATCTCTGTAAACTGCTAAGCAAATGTAAAACTGCAACATCCATTACCATTATGGAGTTTTACACATTTGGAAGAGTTCTGGTGTGTTGCTATGAGATAAGCACTGGACTGCAAGGTTGGTTTGAACCAAACGGTTGGTGGTTCAAACTCACCAGCTGCTCCTTGGAAACCCTATACAGGGTCGCTATGAGTCAGAACTGACTTGTTGTCACTTAACAACAACAGCAGCAACACATTTGGAGACATTATTTAGGATCTAGGTTTTCCAGACAATCCCAAATCTGAAACTGAATTCCCATGTATAGAAAGTGTTCCATTATATTTGAAGCTTCCTGTGGCACTGTGGGTTAATGTGCTGGACTTCAAACTTGGTTTGTACCACAAGGTCAGCAGTTCAAACCCACTATGAGTCAGAACTGATTCAACAGTACTTAACAACAAAAGTCATACAGAGAATGATAAAGCTTGAACTTGAACTAATGTCTCCTGTCGTCAAACCCTGTGATGTTACAGCAATGCAAACCTGCTGCCAAGACAGGAATAATGAGTCAGTTTAATGCAATAATGGAGCTGTGATTTAGACTTAGGGCAGCCATATGTATTCATATCAAGAACTTCAGTTTTTAAATATCCCTTACATAGTCATAACTGACTGACTAACTCTTGAGGAAAGGACTTAGAATAATTTTATGATATAGTCTCATAGCTTTTAGAAACCTTATCATGAAAGACCTTTTCCTAGAACAGTCCCCAAATAATCATTATTGCCACCTTTACTTTTATAGCCTGCAGAGAAAGCAGTTCCTTTTTTTCTAGTTTAAACCCCATAACCTATCTCTAGGTTCTTGAAAAACAGTGTCATGTGACCCATAGTTGGGCAAATGTAGAAAATATTGAAGTGGTCAAAAGCTTCATTTTTCTCATATCAACACTCATGGAATAAGCAGTCAAGAAATAAAACAATGTATTTCATTTGGCAAATCTGCTTCACAAGACCTCTTTAAAGTATTGAAGAGCAAAGATATCAATTTGAGGACTAAGGTGTGCCTGACCTAAGCCATGGTATTTTCAGTAACCTCACATGCATGCAAAAGTTGGACTGTGAATAAGGAAGGCCATAGAAGAATTGATGCATTTGAGTTATGATGTTGGAGGATAATATTGAAAGTACATGGACTGCCAAAAGAACAAATAAATCTGTGTTGGAAGAAGTAGAGCCAGAGTGCTCCTTGGAGGCCAGGATAGCCAGACTTTGTCTCTCATACTTTGGACATATTTTCAGGAGGGACCAGTCATGGGAGAAAGATATCATGTTTGGTAAAATGGAGAGTTGGAGAAAAACAGGAAAACCCCCAGTGAGATGGATTGGCACAATGGCAGCAGCAATGGGCTCAGATGTAACAACGATTGTGAGGTTGGCCCAGGACTGGATGGTGTTTTGTTTTGTTGTACATGGTGTCACTTTAAGTCAGTACTGACTTGATGGCACCTAACAGCAGCAACAACAAAGTTGGGCAGTGGTTAAGAGTCTAATATAGGGCTGCTATATTTAAGTGTCATTGAGTCAGTAGCCACCCTGTATAGGGTTCCCAAAGAGTGGTCAATGGGTTTGAACTACCAACCTCTGGGTAGATATCCAGTGCTGATCCTACAGCACCACACCAGAACCTCCAGTATAGGATAGGAAGGGGGCAAACTAGGAGGAGGAAGATGGGTCAGCTGAGTAGAAATACTTTAGATTGGAATGTGGCCAGCCATAATGTTGTTTTTGTTTTTTTTCCCAGATGGCATGCAAGCACTCTACAAGGTCAAATCTTGCTCCACAGACCCTCCTGTGGACAAACTAACAGGAAAAGTCCGGCAGTACTTCATTGAGGCCCATGAAATTCAATGGGACTATGGCCCAATGGGGCATGATGGGAGTACTGGGAAGAGTTTAAGGGAGCCAGGCAGGTAAGAGGCAGTGGACCCCTCTCCCTGTTCCTGCATGCAGTTCCAGACACCTGTTCTTTCTTTCCCCAGAACATCTAACTTCACTTAGGGGCTATAAATATTATCTGGCTAGGGCTACTTGACAACTTCTTGTGGGACCCTGGGAACCTTATTCTTGGGAAGCTGCTGATAGTGAAGTTTTTTGTAGGGTTAGGTCATCTCACCAGCAAGGGGTTCTAACAGAGTTTTAGGTTTGTCCTGCTGGGCTTTTAGGATATGTTTATATAGGAAGACCCAAGTGAATCCAGATCCTACATCAGGCTTTTACTCAAACTCTTCTCTATCATATCATTTATCATCTTATTCTTTCCGTTTTCTTCCATAGTGTATAGTAGGCATTTGAGCAGGAAAGTAAAGAACACAGAGAAATGTAAGGAGAAGAGAAGTTATCTGAATTGTGGTCACTCTATTCCACTCTTTTGGAAGAATTTCTCCAAGTTCTTCTGTTTCATCCATGATCCAGATGTGGGCAGGGTAGAGCCAGAGATTAGTGTCCTGTTTAGTTGCTAGGCCTCAACAAATGCCAGTTTACTAGGAAATAATTGATACCAACTTTTAAACAAAGAGACAGCAGATAACTAGCAAAAAACATAAAGGAAGCTTCTAGGGTACTCATGCTTTTTATTTCAGCAAGAAATAATGGAGTGAGGAGTGTGGGTTTTGGAGGTGGCAGAATCAGAATCAGGTAGAACAGGCTCTGTAGGGGAGGGACTGAAAATCCAGAGAAGCTGCTTTCACAGAATAGTGTCAGAGCTCTGGATCAAGTATAAGGTGCAGGGCATCAGTTTCTCGCACCCACCAGTGGGAAAAAAATCACTGTATAAAGGAAAATATTTTGATTTAGGAATTGATCAGGACATGGGACTCCCACTACAGCCTGTCCACCTGGGCTGTGTTCAGAGGGCGGGGCCACAGACTGACCGACACAGTGAACCAGCACTAAAATCAGCACAGTGACATTTGTAAAATAAGGTGTGGAGGGATTCTACACATTTTTCCTCCTCTTTCCTGCCCAGCCTGGATGCCTTCAGGTGGGTGGGTGTGCATGCCCAAAAGGGTCCAGCATTGAGCCTACAGTTTTCACACAGCACAGAGAGAAAGAACCCAATTGGTCCCACGGGCTGAAACTTTGATGGCTGCTTATGACATCTGACTCTGGGGCACAGCCTATTAAGTTAACTTGTGCAGGACCCTATACTCCTGCCTACTCAGTAAGGAAAAAGGTCTGGCCAGACAGACAAGCCATATGAACACTCTGTTAAACGCCAACATAAAAGGATGAAACTATTTCAAAAACACTCTGTAAAACCCCAACATAAAAAGATGAAACTATTTCAAGAATTACGCTGTGCACATGCAGATACCTAACTGACCTTCAGAGACAATCTTTCTCCATTAACTTTTCAATAGCTATTGGTACACCTCTAAGGTGGTGACTAGAGGAGGGGCCTGAGCAAGTGGACACCCCCACCCACTGCTGGAGGTTTCTACGGTGCATGCACAATACCTGTGCAGCAAAGGCAACTGGCCAATCGGCTATGGTTTTATTTTTGTTTAAGAGTGGAGGTTTTTGTTTCTGCTTTTATATTGCTTCTGTTTTGGGTCCTTTTGATGGCAGTTTTTTCCTGGAGGTGGGAGCTTTTTCTCCCTATGTTACTCAAGAAGAGACAGCAATTGTGGCCATATAGCCAAGCTACAAAGATACCCCATAATATTCCACCATTGAGACAAGAGTCAATAAAAGTTGCTAGGCATTACATGCAAAAAGGTAAGCCTATCTCCTGGTCATATCCACCAGAAGACACTCATTAAGCTTAAAAAACAGCAACAAACATCAGTTTAAGCATTAAAAACCCAACTAACTACTGAAAATAGAGGGAAAAAAAAAAAAGATCTCAAAACATGTCCAAAAACAGAAAAGAGTAACTGAGACAAATGAGCTTCAGGAAGACAAAGGCTTTCCAGAAGAGGAAGAGCAGGCTTTGGATTTTCCTGAGAAGGAATTTAGAAGAATGATATGGAAACAAATTCAAATGCTCTAAAAAAGGGTGGAGGAAAATAAGGAAGAAGTCAGGAAAGTACTACGGGAACAATCAAACAAGATTGATACAGCATTGGAAAAAATTCAAAACCTGCAAAAAGAGGTCCAGATGATTAATAATAGAATATCAGAAATGGACAGTACACTGAAAGGGGAAAGGAGCAGAATTAAAGAGATGGAAGCCAGAGCCAACAAGCTGGAAGAGAAATCTCTTAATACTGCTAAGATTGAAGAGCAAGCAGAAAAAAGGATAAAAAAATCTGAAACCAGTCTAAGATTCATACTGGATAACATGAAGAGGAATAACTAAGAATTATTGACATTCTGGAACAGGAAGAATTAGAGAAGTCCACAGAGGAGAGATAGTTGAAGAGATTCTGGAAGAAAATTTGCCTAACATCTTGAAGGATAAGAAAATAGACATTCAAGAATCCGAATGTACCCCAGGAAGGGTAGACCCAAAAGAAAATTACCAAGACATATCATAATCAAGCTCTTCAAAATCAAAGACAAGGAGAGATTCCTAAAAGCATCCAGGGAAAAGAGAAGTGTTACTTACAAAGGCAAGCAAATCAGATTAAGCTCTGACTTCTCAGTAGAAACCATGCAGGCAAGAAATCAATGGGGAAACATATATAAAACCCTAAAAGAAAAAAACTGCCAACCAAGAATCGACTATCCAGAAAAACTGTCAATCAAATATGATGGTGTAATCAAAATATGTCAGTATAAACAGAAGCTACGAGATTTTGTCAAAGCCAATACAACACTTCAAAATATCCTAAAGGGAGTTCTTTGGACTGAAAACCACCAAGAACAGACAACAACCAGAGATTGACAGACATGGCATCACCACCTGAAAGTCAGACAACAGATAGCAGAGTCCAGACAGAAGAAAATTACAACAATGAATTCAAAGGAGCTGGCAGTCAACTGAAGATCAAAATAATAACAATGTAAAAGAAGGGGAAAATATAGGAACAGAGATCCAGGTGGTGAGGAGGTCAGGTAGATTAAAGGATACAATAGACTGTCTTAAATGGAGGTAAAAGTTAATAGATTATTAGTTGTTGTTGTCTATACTGACCCATAGCGACCTTGTGCACAGCAGAACGAAACACTGCGCGATCCTGGGACAACCTCACTACTGTTGCCATGCTTGAGTCCATCGATGCTGCCACTTGGCCAATCCATCTCGTTGGGGGTCTTCCTCTTTTTCTCTGTACCTCCAC